GCCGGATCCCAACCGTGGACATAGGCTATTGCCGAACCACGTATAAAACTTTGTGCGAGAGAGGGAGAAGTTGCCTGTGGGTGAAGGAAGCAATTTGATCTTGTCATGCCTATCAAGAGCCAACATTGGTCGAGCATTTGGGCTACTGAGCATTTGGGTTCCATGAGGTGCCACAAATGAAGTCACTAACTTTTGTATTGAGATCACAAGGAGAGTTCTGAATTTGCTATGTTGTGAATAAGCTGTGCAAGGGGGCCATGGAGAACCAGTTTTCAAACCAGAAATTAGAGTTTAGACCATTCCCAATTTCTACTTTGACAAGGGGTTTGATGGAAGGCCAGAGTTGGAGGAGATTTTGCGGATTCCAAGAGCATTGTTGTGGAATCTTCAGAAGCCAAATGCATCTATCTCTTATCAGGTAAGCTCTAACCCATTGTGCCCATAATGATGAGTTGCCCATAATGATGAGTTTCCTATGGATAGAACCTGCCATAATTGTAATTCTGTTCAAAGATTGAATATGAGGAATATCTAGGCCACCAGTTGATTTGGTAGTGCATACAGTGGTCCAAGCTACCTCTGCACCACCTTTCTTGAGTTTATGACCTTTCCATAGGAACTTCCTAAGAATGCAGCCAATTACTTTGAGAGTGCATATAGGAAGAATGAATTTAGATGTCCAGAACATCAGCATGCTGCATAGAACTGATTTGATAGGTTGTAATCTCCCTGCAAAAGACAAAAACCTGATAGTACAGTTCCCTATTCAGTTTGCAACCTTCTCAATCGGGACCTTGCAATCATCAGATTTTAGTCTAGTTGAAATTAAGGGAACTCCCAAATAACTAATGGGTAGAGACCCCTTTTCAAATCCTAAAATAGAGAGGATATTGGCCTCAAGGGAAGGTTTAACACCAGACAAAAAAGTGTTACTTTTAGTTTGATTTATGCTCATGCCCGAGATGGAACAAAAAAGATCAACTGCTTGCTTGATAAATTGAATGGAGTTGGGGTTAGCATGAAAGAATATGAGTAGGTACATCAGAAAAAATAAGATGTGAGAGAGATAGGTCTTTGCACCTCCAATGAAATTTGAAAGATGGGTTATCAAGTATACTTTTGTTCCGAATGGATGAGAATACTTGCATTTCTTGGCATTTCCTCTCATTCATCTTTCCCTCTCTTCTCCTCCCATCACCATTTCTATACACTCGTGTATTAGAAATTGGATATGAAATCTGAACTTGGTATATTGAGTTTTAAAAATTGGATTTGAAATCTGAATCGCAGAAGAAGAGATACAGTGCTATGGAGATGTGTATGGAGAGATGATGGTTCCAAAGGAGCTTGAGGTCGAAAAGGACAATAGTTTCAAGCTTCAATTCCAAGTACCTGACCTCAGGTATGTCATCAAAGTGAGTAACTTTTTTTTTTTTTTTTTCCTTCGTGTCTAATCAAACGAGATTTCTCTCTCTATTTTTTTTTTAATAGGCAAATCATAGTCTCATGCGATGATCGTTGATTGATTTATTGCTACTGTATTTTTTCCCACTCGTGTTTGTTTGGTTGCTGAGAAAATATAGAATGTAGCAGAAAATTTAGGGTTTATAGTCTTGTTTTATTTCTTTTTTTTTTTTTTTAATTATTTATGTTTTCTCAGTGGCCAACGCGCCTTCGGGACTTGAAAGGTTTAATTTGTTGAAATCCTTCTCTCTATAATCTATTTATATCGGAAAATGTCAAGAGGGCACTCTCAAAGTGAACTCGCTCCCTCGTCCGTTGGACCCGTGAACAAGGGCGAAAACTCATGGTGAGAGCACCTTCATTATAGCATCACTCTTATATATATGAATCACAGAAACACTAAATTCAGGTTTGTGTATGGGTTATAACCATCGTGAGAGAACCTTCACCATAGCATATAACTCTTATACATATGTGTGTGTATATATATATATGTCACACAGAAACACAAAATTAATACAGCTTTAGTGGTATCTCCTCTACCTCTCAAGGTGGATGGTGAAGGTTCACATTCCCATGGAGACAAATGTGTAAAATAAATGTCTTTGGGTCATACAAAAAGGACATTTGCCAGACTTTAACCAATTAGTAGAAAGTGATGTTGCTAATATATAAAATGACAGATTGATATGTGTGATATTGTGGCCGAATTTGGTGCCAGATAAATTTTTGACCCGTTTTTTGCTCATAGGTCGTGGACCCTAAATAGTCTCTTGTAGCCCGATATATAAGGGCGCTTAAGGTTTGGAGTGGTGAAAGAGAGAGACTCCAAAATTCGTATAGAAACAGATTGAGAGGCTGAAAATTTGTAATCTCTGATTTGACACATAGTGAATACTTTTGCCAGATCCCAACCGTGGACATAAGCTATTGCCGAACCACGTATAAATCTTTGTGTTCTTTGTGTGGTGTGTTTACTTTTTTGTCGTGATTTTTTATTCAATTTGGGTTCGTTGTGTTTGTCATAACAATATGAATTTTAATATGATTTACACTGCATTTGTAATTGAGCAATAACATGCTCTGCATCGGTAACTTTTGCCCTTTGACAAAGTGTATATTCTAGGTTTTGGTCCCTCTTGCAAACACTTTCTTTCAAATTTGTTGTCTAAAGACTATTGCTCGTCAGTAGAATGAGTATCACAAAGATAAGTAGGTAAGATGTCATATTTTCATTATAAACTAATAATTTTATTTCTTATACTTAATTTGACATGCCAAATGCTAGACTGAGTTACAACCAGCATCATTATTATTTCTTTCACATACACCATTTTCATATTCATGAATAAAGTTCAGTCCTAGCTACTAATGACCATCTCCAAGTGCATCCACAAAAGCCTTAAGATTCATATCCAATGATCCACCATCCTTCATAGCTTCCCATGCCAATTCCTTCCATTTCTTCGCATTTCCTCTCATTTCTCTTTCCCTCTCTCCTCCTCCCATCACCATTTCTATACACCTACTAATCTCCGTATTGTCCACTATTCCTTCTTCATTTGCCACAACTCTCAACCCCATCTTCCATATATCTTGGAGAAGCTTTGCATTCGTCATTTGATCTAGCAATTGAGGAAACCCCACCACTGGAACCCCGGAAACCAAACTCTCCAACGAAGAATTCCACCCACAGTGAGTCAAAAAACATCCCACTGACGGGTGTGATAGAACCTCCACTTGAGAACACCATGGCACTATCAATCCTTCTTGTCCCAATTCTTCTAAGCAACTCAATTTATCTTCCTCTCTCTCACCATTTACTTTTGCTCTTATCACCCACATAAATGGCCTATGGCTTTCCAACAATCCGCGTGCAATCGCCTCCATTTGTTGCTTCGACAACACAGCTATGCTTCCAAATGATACGTAAACAACAGATGATTTGGGCTTCGAATTTAACCATTTAACATAACCATGTGATTTTTGAAAGAGGTCACCACTAAAGGAAGCATCAGATGGGGCTATTAATGGTCCTATTGGGATCAAATTATGCTTTTTCATAGCTCTTAAGGCCTCCGGCTCTATTGCATCGAATGTGTTAACCAGTATTTTTGGGTTGGTTTCGGTACTAATCAGGTCTAGATGCTCTTTCATCGATAGGAATGCCCATCTGTATTTTTCTGAGTGTGGAGGGACTAGAATGGAGGGAAGGTCACGGCTAGTGAGCAATGGCAAACCCGGCAACTAAATGGAGCTTGAAGGGTCATTGACAATTTTTCTAATGGCATCACCATAGCCATTGAAGTAATAGTGGAAGATATCAAAAACTGTAGCTGGTTGAGTCCATAGAACTGCGGATGGGATATGATGGCCATGAGCAACTTCAGCAACCCATGGTTGAGCCGTAGTGTAGACCAAATAAGTTATTGGGTAGCTTTCTTCTGCACTGGCCTTGATGAGTTCCGCTATGGCCCTGGAACCGCGAATTCTGAGCTCGGACATGAAGTGTTCGTAGTTGTCCCCTTCTTTGAACCCATCATCATAGCCATCGGAGAAGGCAGATATGGATAACCCTTTTGGAATTGTGCTGTTGGATTTGGTCATGCGACTGTGAGCGGAGAGTGTTGTGATAATGGTGACCTTAACACCCATTCGTATGAGGTTCTTGGCTAATTGGATTGATGGTTTGATGGCGCCTTGCGCCGGAAAAGTTAAAAGGAGAATGTGGCAATCCACCATAGTGAATGAGAGAGAGATTTGATGGGATTACTTAATGCAAAAAGTTGTTTTTTGGTGTTTCACAAATGAAGGGAAAGCTATTTTTGAAAATTGGATGTGCAATGCAAAACTAAAAATTGATTTTGTGTGTGACAAGTGAATAGAAAGCAAGCTGTGTATGGAAATGGGGTGGGATTTGGAGGTTTATATATGATGTTTAAGGATTGGAGCTAGACCTTCATGACATTTGTGGGGGAGGATCAAGTTGGCTACTTGGCTTGTAGTACTTTGTCTCTTTATGTAGCAAAAAATAAAAATAAAATAGAAGAATGGTAGCTGGGAGAGACTGTTTGGTATTAATTTTTATATGATTTGCACTGGATTTGTAATTGAGTCAATATCATGCCTGAATCAGGAACTTTTGCTCTTTGACAAAGTGTACGTATTACCAAACAGCCAAACAAACCAACAATCACTTGCCAAAACAGCCACAACCCTCCAACTTTTGCTCTTTGACAAAGTGTCCGTCATTATCTTGTCTACACAACAATGTTGTCTTTACCTTGACATATGAAATCTCTCTATATTTAATACAAATATATAATATGAAAAATGAAGTCAATTCATATTACAAACCAACCTTGATGTTTTAATTGATTATAAAATGGAATAGCAAATACAGGACCTTTTGCTTTTAGGTACGCATCACGTGAAGTACAAATGTGACAACAAAGTGAAAAGTAAATGAGAAATGAACAAAAATGAAGATAAAATCAATTTACAGGGAAAAAAAAAAAAAAAAATACAATCAAGAACAAAGTTCATGCTACTGAACAAACTTTTGATTTTTGATCTCACTCACAAAAGCTTTAAGATTCATATCCGATGACCCACCTTCCTTGACTGCTTCCCTTGCCAATTCCTTCCATTTCTTGGCATTTCCTCTCATTTTTTTCCCTTTCTCTCCATCCCCCATTACCATTTCTATGCACCTCTTAAACTCCTCCCTCTCAGCTATTCCTTCTTCATTCACAGTCAACCTCAGCCCCGTCTCCCAAACATCTGTCATGAGCTTTGCGTTAGTCCCCTGATCTGTCCACTGCGGAAGCGCCACTATTGGAACCCCAGAAACTACACTCTCCAATGTAGAATTCCACCCGCAATGCGTCACAAAACATCCCAATGATAGGTGAGATAGAACCTCCACTTGAGAACACCATGGGACTATCATCCCTTGCTTTTCCAACTCCTCCGTGCAAATAACTTCGTTTTCTATATTCTTACCAAATTGATCAGTTTTTCTTACCACCCACAAGAACGGCCTTCGGCTATCCAACAACCCATGTGCCATCTCTTCCATTTGTTTCTTCGTTGGCACGGTAAGAGTTCCGAATGATAGATAAATAACAGAGGACTCTGGCTTCGAGTTCAACCATTTGACACAGTCCATTGACTTCTGAAACATATCACCCCCAAATGAGGTATCAGATGGATCTTTTCCATCCAAAAAGGCTGATGGGATTAGTGGCCCAATTGCAATCATGTTGAGCTTCTTGATAGCTTGCAGAGCATCGGATTCCAATTTGTCGAATGTATTTACTAGTACTTGTGGAGTTGTTCCGGCATCAAGTATGTCTATGTGCTTTTTGAATACTGGGAGAAAACTGTAGGAGTCAGTTGGACTAGGTAGTAATAAAGAAGGTAGGTCATGTCTAGTGAGCACTGGAAGTCCTGGCAATTCAATGGGACAAAAGGGGTCACAGCTATTTTTTTTAATAACATCAGCATACCCATTGAAGTAATAGTAGTAAATGTCCATAATAGTTGCTGGTTGGATCCAAAGAAGTGTGGATGGAATGTGAAGGTCATGTGCCACCTCTGCTATCCATGGGATAGTTGTGGTGTAAACCACACGTGTGAAGATGTGGCCTTCGTCTGCACTCGCGTTGATGAGATTCACGATGGCTTGGCAACTGTGAATTCGGAGTGAGGACATGAAGTTTTCGAGTTCGTCAACTTTGACGCCGTTTTCATAGCCGTCGGAGAAGGGGGCGAGTGTTAAACCTTGTGGGGTTGGGGTGGTTTTGTTCATGTGACGGATAGCGGAGAGGCTGGTGACAAAGGTAACTTTGACATCCATTGCCACAAGGCGCTTGGCAAATTGGAGGGCCGGATTGATGTGGCCCTGTCCCGGGATAGTTACCAGAAGAATGTGGGGATTGTCCATACCGGTGATCATAGTGGTGGTTGTGAGATGGGTACTGGTCAATGCAAATTGCAAAATGTTGTGTTTGTGAGTTGGGACGTCTTAGAAGTGACTTATTGTAGAGTATTTATATATGAAGTTTAGGTGGAGTTTACGTTTGTCGTGAGTCTCGTGAGTTGTGACACATTGAAAGATTTGTGAGTTTTGGAGTTTTTCTTTTCATTTTCAACAAATATATATACTTTTTTATTTCTAAAAGACATGCACTTGCTAATCAACAAATTTTTAATATTGGCCTGCTTGGGTTTTGGAGTTTGTCTTTGCTGATGCCAGAAATGAGCTGATTTGTTACAACAGCACCACTAACAATGAAATGACAAATCTTCTTTTTTTTAAAAAAAAAAGTGTAAGATAGGTGCACCATAATAAAATATTGATATATTTTACTCAACTTGGTCTTTCTCTTCCTCTATCATTGCTGTGGGTGAACAATACTAGTACACCTTGTGAAAAATACCCATATATTATTATATAAAAAATTAGTTTTTACTCATTTTAGACACAATAGCATAAATGTAATTACTAATTCCTTCACCAATTAGGATACTGGGCATTTGTTTTGCTTTTTAAAATTTAAATTATTATTATTAACCCTTAATACGGTTCAGAATCATATTGAGATTTCGTTTAAAAGAAATTACAAAATTATCTCATTGTGTTTCGAAAGTGTTCTAGTCATGTCCAACTAAGAAAATAATGGTACAAACTTCAAGATGCTTTGGAACCGTGTTGGACACGTATCCAGTCATATCATTGACCTGCCACGACACTATTTAGAGGGAGTGTCCATGCTTTCTAGGTGACAAGATTATATCTTATAAATTTGGAAAACTCAGCTCTAGAGTACGCATTATTGTGTTACTTGCATTCATGACATGCATTATGACATTTTATTATTCATGTATGTTTAGATTACCTTTGTTAGATCTGGCCAATAGACATTTTGTTCAATTATTTAGAATGATACTGTGTTTTAAAATAACAGAAATAGCAAAACTTTTTATTAGGAAAAACAAGTATTTAACTTATTAGGCTGTCGAGCTCCCCCATTCCTTAAAAAATTTCAGGTGACAAGAACAAGAAGATGGTGCTTTTGGGTTTTATTAGAACATGTTAATTTAGGTTAATTTATTTCTTATTTAAGTTTGGGATGCAAAACTTATTTTTAGTTAATATTGGCGAAAACTGTCAGGTCACATCTAAGTTTGCTCATATATTAATATAGTGTGACTTGGTTTTGAACTGTGAGGGGTGTCTCATACTTGTGTAGGTGTCTTGACAATAGTGAGCGTTTGTTCAGCGTAAGCATAAAATGAACAATATCTGCATGGGGGAGTCTTGACATAGAACATGTTGGTATAAAATTACTAGAAAGTTAAAATGTACAAAATAAAATTAAAATAAAATAGTAGACAGTATTGGATAAGGAGAGAAAGGTATATTAAGAACAAGAATGATAGAATAGTCCTATTTCCATTACAAACTAATTATTTTATTGCTTACACATTTAAGAAAACAAAATTTTATTTGCTAGATTGAGTTACAAATGCCACCAATAAAGGAAAAGTAAATACAAATAATTAAATAAAAAGGTTTAATGAAACAATCAAAAGGAATTTTTTTTCGTCTTTCAAAAGACACCATTTTCATTTTCATGAATAAAGTTCACTCCCAGCTACTAGTGACCATCTCCAAGTCCGTCCACAAAAGCCTTAATATTCTTATCCAATGATCCACCATCCTTCATAGCTTCCCATGCCTTTTCCTTCTATTTCTTCGCGTTTCCTTTCATTTCTCTTCCCCTTTCTCCTCCCATCACCATTTCTATACACCTCCTAATGTCCTCCCTGTCTGCTATTCCTTCTTCATTTGCCACTACTCTCACTCCCACCTTCCAGACATCTTGAATAAGCTTTGCATTTGTCATTTGATCCATCACCTGCGGAAACACCGCCACAGGCACCCCAGAAACTAAACTATCCAACAAAGAATTCCACCCACAGTGACTCAAAAAGCATCCCACTGATGGATGTGATAGAACTTCCACTTGATGATTATGATGGCCGCCTCTGGGTGGATTGTGGTGCTCCCATTCCTTTAGCAACACCATGGCACAATCGATCCTTCTTGTCCCAATTCTTCCAACCAACCCAATTTATCTTCTTCTCCATCACCATTTTCTTTTGCTCTTATCACCCACATTACTGCCCTATGGCTTTCCAGCAACCCACGTGCAATCTCCTCCATTTGTTGCTTCGACAACATGGCCATGCTTCCGAATGCTACATAAACAACCGATGATTCAGGCTTTGAATTTAACCACTCAACATAACCGTTTGATTTTTGGAAGAGTTCCCCTCTAAAGGAAGCTTCAGAGGGGACTATTAATGGTCCTATTGGGATCAAATTGTGCTTGTCAATAGCTCTTAAGGCCTCTAGCTCTATCGCATCGAATGTGTTCACGAGTATTTTTGGGTTGGTTTCGGCATCAAGCATGTCTAGCTGCTCTTTAAACGTTGGGAGTGCCCAATTGTAATTATGTGTGTGTGAAGGGCCTAGAAAGGAGGGAAGATCGCGGCTAGCTAGCAAAGGCAAACCCGGTAACTGAACAGAGCTTGAAGGATCATTGCCAATTTCTCTAATGGCATCACCATAGCCGTTGAAATAATAGTAGGAGATATCGAAAACTGTGGCTGGTTGAATCCATAGAAGTGCAGATGGGATGTGACGGGCATGAGCAACTTCAGCAGCCTATGGTTGAAGCATAACATAGACCAAACAACTTATCGGGTATCCTTCTTCAGCACTGGCCTCGATGAGTTCTGCCATGGCTTTGAAATTGTGAATCTTGAGCTCAGACCGGAAGTGTGTGCGTGGTTGATCCTGGCTTTGTACCCGTCATCATACCCATCGGAGAAAGCAGATAAGGATAATCCTTTTGGGATTGAGCTGTTGGAATTTTTCATGTGACGGTGAGCAGAGAGGCTTGTGAGAATGGTGACCTTAACCCCCATTCGTACGAGGTTCTTGGCAAATTGGATCTACGGATTGATGGCGCCTTGTGCTGAAAAAGTTAGAAGGAGAATGTGGCAATTCACCATAGTGAAGGGGTTGTGTTTGCGTTTCAGAAATGAAAGGAAAGCTATATATGTATGAAAATGGGATGGGCAATGCAAAACTAAAAATTGAGTTTGTGTCTGACAAGTGAAGAGAAAGCTTGCTAGTTGTGTATGGAAATGGGTTGTTCTATATATGAAGTTTATGGGGGAAGAGTTGGCTATTTGGCTTGTACTTTCTGTTTTGACATCAATTTTTTTATTGAACATGGGCGTGTGGTCATGGTGGTACTAAATTGGCAAGCCCTAGACATGGCAACATATTGAGTCACTTACCTTTGAAAAAAAGAATAAAAAAAAGAAGCCATTTTGAGTCGCTTACCTGTGTTGATGAAGTGTATACCTTGAAAAGTTGGGTTAGTGATGCATAACATGGCAACATTTTGAGGTAATACATCAAAACTTGGTCAAATCCTAGAGAGCTTTGACATCAAAATTTTTTTATTTAACATGGTATTGGTACTAATTTGACAACATTTTGCACTGTTGGTTTAGTTAATTCTTGTGTTGATCTTATTGGTAATTTGACAAGTCCTAGACATGACAACGTTTTGGGTTATTGGTTTAGTTAATTCTTGTGTTGATGAAGTGTCTCCAATAATTGTGTTTGTGATGTGTAACATGGCAATATTATAAGGTAATACATTGTACATCAAAACTTGGTCATCAAGTTTGAAGTGGGCAAATATATTTATTCCTGTAACACTAATATTTCCATAAATAAAATAAAATTAAAAACAAAAATGAACTTAGGGAACATCACGCACATGCCAGATGTTTCGGCTGAAGATTTAAGCCTAAATAGCACAACTCATAATAATATGAAATTTAGAAGACCTTAGAAATGACCATTGACTATAGTACGAATGTAGTGTAAATGCTATAGCATAAATAACGTTGTGGTATAAAAAGTCACCAGAATTTGTAATAGAAATAGAGACCCAAAATCCTCAATTATTTTATGCCATCCTCTCTTTCAAAAATCAAATTTGTTCAAAACCACAATAAATCTATCCATGACTGGTGACACGAGATGATAAGCATCAACGCCCAAGGAATGAAATCCGGTTTTCTAATAGATAAATTGTCTACAGACACAGTAATTTTTTTCTCCAGTTTTGAAATCTCTATATTTATAGATATATATAATATGAGAAATAAAGCCCATTCAAATTTTAAACACACTTCTTGTTTTAGTTGGATATTTAACATTTGCAAAAAGTAAATCAAAAGTGAATAAAAAGATTTAACCAAGAACAAAGTTCATCCTACTAAACAACTTGTTAATTTCCGAGCTCACTCACAAAAGCTTTTAGATTCATGTCCGAGGACCCACCTTCCTTCACTGCTCCCCTTCCCAGTTCCTTCCATTTCTTGGCATTAATTCTCATTTCTTTCCCTTTCTCTCCATCCCCCATCACCATTTCTATGCACCTCTTTAACTCCTCCCTCTCAGCTATTCCTTCTTCATTTACTGTCACCCTCACTCCTGTCTCCCAAACATCTGTGATCAGCTTTGCGTTAGATCCCTGATCAGTCCACTGTGGAAACGCCACCATTGGAACCCCAGAAACCAGGCTCTCCAACGTAGAATTCCACCCACAGTGCGTAATGAAACATCCCAACGATGGGTGTGACAGAACCTCCACCTGAGAACACCACGGCACTATCATCCCTTGCTTTTCCAATTCCTCCATGCAACTTGATTTGTCTTCTATATCCTCACCAAATTGATCAGTTTTTCTTACCACCCACAAGAAAGGCCTTCGGCTTTCCAACAACACATGTGCCATCTCTTCCTTTTGTTTCTTCGACAGCACTGAGAAGCTTCCAAACGATATATAAACAACGGAAGACTCTGGCTTCGAGTCCAACCATTCCACATAGTCTGCCGACTTTTGAATCATATCACCTCCAAATGATGTATCAGATGGATCTTTTCCCTCCAAAAAAACTGATGGGATTAACGGCCCAATTGGAATCATGTTGAGCTTCTTGATAGCTCGTAGAGCATCTGATTCCAATGCATCGAACGTATTTACTAGTACTTGTGGATTTGTTTCCGCATCAAGTATGTCTATTTGATGTTTGAATTCTGGGAGAAAATCGTGAACGTTTGTATGATTAGGTAGTAAGAAGGAAGGAAGGTCACGTGTAGTGAGCAATGGAAGTCCCGGCAATTCAATGGGAAAAAAGGGGTCACAGCTATGTTTTGTAATAACATCAGCATACCCGTTGAAGTAATGGTAGTAAATGTCCAAAGTGGTTGCTGGTTGGATCCAAAGAAGTGTGGATGGGATGTGATGGTCATGTGCCACTTCTGCTACCCATGGGATAGCTGTAGTGTAGACCACACGTGTGAAGGCGTGACCTTCGTCTGCGCTGGCATTGATGAGGTTTGCGACGGCTTTGGAACAATGGATTCGGAATGAGGATACGGCTTTTTTGAATTCGTCAACTTCGAAGCCGTCGTCGTAGCCATCAGAGAAGGGGGCGAGGGTTAAGCCTTGTGGGGTTGGGGTGGTTTTGCTCATGAGGCGGATGGCATAGAGGCTAGTGGCAAATGTAACTTTGACACCCATTGCCGCTAGGCGCTTGGCAAATTGGAGGGTCGGATTGATGTGGCCTTGTGCGGGGACAGTTACCAAAAGAATGCGGCGGTCGTCCATTTCGGTGGTGGTGGTGGTGGTTACTATAGCTAGTCAATGCAAGTTGCAAAATGTTTTAGAAGTCGCTTGATGGAGCATGTTTTGAATTCCACAGGGGTGGTGGTTATATATATATATATATATATTGTGTGTGGATATTGTTTGCCTTTAATTCTGGAGCTTGTCGTTGCTGATGCCTTGAATATGGACGCGATTACGACAGATATGGACAAAATGATATAATTTGTCAAGAAAACGTGGTTTTTGCCTTCTTAGTTACGTCTCTTTACTTTTTCTTGTTTGTTTTCAATTTCTTTCTTTTAAGATAGAAATTATTAAGTTGCCTACCATTCTTTTCATATAGTGTTGAATTCGGGTGAGTCATTCAAAATTGTCTCGTTGTGTCTGAAAAATATCTTAATCACCTTCAAGTCTTCTACTATGAAAAAAAAATAAAAATAAAAAAAATAATAATAATAAAATTCAGAGGATTTGAAAGTGGGATGGAGGATTGTTTGGATTGGTGATGCATTATCAAGGACTGTATGAATCGATTATACAGTGTTTATCACTAAAATAAATAATTAATTAAAATTAAACTAATAATTTTATTTATCGACATGCCAAATGCTAGACTGAGTTACAAATGCCACCAACAAAGAAAAAGTAAATCCAAATAAATAAATAAAAAAAATGAACCAATCAAAAGCATGATCATTTATTCAAATACGTCATTTCATTTTCATGAATGAAGTTCACCGCTACTAGCTCAAGTTGTTAGAGGGCATCCTTTTCTAGATTATCGCTGTTTTCTTCTGTCATTTCATTTTCATAAATGAAGTTCACCGCTACTAGCTCAAGTTGTTAGAGGGCATCCTTTTCTAGATTATCGCTGTTTTCTTCTAGAGGATAATGGAAGACAGCAATATTTTAGAAAGAAAAAGCTGACCTTTTTTTTTTGTATTTTTTTTTTTTATGCACATATTCTTCGCCCACCCTCGGCTTGGAAAAATTATTGGTACCTCGGGGGGTATGGTACCCCAGGGCATCCCAACCATTGGATGTGGTGGGGCCACCAGATCCATAATTCAATGGCTCTCACTACCCCGGGATACTATACTTCCGGGATATTCAATAATTTCTCCTCGACTTGGTAGACCTTGTTTGATAATATTATGATTTTATCTTGTATAATACTTGTACGCTGAAGTGGTTTTGGACTTGCAGTGCATATTGACTAGTCCTAGCGGATATGGCAACATTTTCATTTATTTTATTATTATAATTTACATCAAGCAAACATTTTCAGTAATTAGTTTAGCAAATTCTTGTGTTGACAAAGTGACATAGCTACATTTTATTGAAACTTCGTGGCCTCCTGCAGCTTTGACCCTCGACTTGGTATACCTTGTTTGATAAGATTAGAATTAAGGGTCCGTTTGCCATCTATTTTGTATTTGGCGTTTTATTTTTAGCTGAAACAAAAATAGTATTTTTGCTGTAAAAGTGTTTTGAAAAAAAAATCGGAAGCACGTTTGGGAACAATGTTTTGTTCTGAAAATATCGAAAAAAGAAATAAGAAAAAATAATTTTTATGGTTTTGAGTAATGAACAATTGTCAAAATAAGAAAAAATAACTTTTTAGTGTTTCGATTTTGGGTCACTGTTCACGAAGTGTTTTAGCACTGTGTAAAATAAAACAAGGTCGCATAAAACATACTTTTATTGCTAAAATCGACAATGTAACAGTCCAAAAACAAAAACAACATAAACAAAACGCATGTCAAACGGGGCCAAAGCTTTTATATAAAACTTGTGGGCTGAAGTGACTTTGACAACTATGGTAAAGGTTCTATTATTGTACTTCATGACATAGAATCAGTGAACAAACTGGTGATTATCACAAGTGCTAGGAAGTACAATACTTTGTCCGGGATGTTGAGACCACTTCGGACCTCTGTTCAACATTCACCGGATTGACACAGGTTCGCGCGAGTCTGATTATAATCAGACGTGTGTAGGACTGTGTTAGAAATTTAAATTATGTTGAGTCGCACAGGAAAATTGTGTCTGGTGGCAATGTTACCGCTGTTCCATTAAGTGGGTGAGGTTTATCACTATCGGTGAATTTGTTGCTAGAATAGCGAAAATTACCATTAATGGTGATGAACTTTAGCTTCGGGATAAAATCGCTGAAAAATGTGACTGGTAGGAGATTTTGATCCCTCTGTCAGAGCTATACAGACAACATAGGTCAATTCTATCTTTGTCTATATATAGAATATGCAAGTGGTGAATGAGAATCTTCGCATCTGTGTATGTATATATATATATATATGCATATAATATTTTACCTTGAAATTTAATATATTAAGTTTTTGAAATTGGATATGGAATCTGAATTGTAGAAGAAGAGATGGTGCTTTGGAGATGTTCATGGAGTGATGATGGTTCCGGAGGAGCTTGAGGTCGAAGAGGTCGAAAAAAAATAAAAAATAAATTAAAAAAAAAAAAAAAGTATAATCTCTTGTGCACAGTCTAATTAAAGAATTGCGCTAATCATCAACTAGTCTACACAACAAAATTTGATTTACCTCCACATTTGAAACCACTCTATATTTATACATACACAATATGAAAAATGAAGCCAATTCATATTACAAACACACTCAAATGTTTTACTTGATTTTAAAAAAGCATACCAAATACATGACCCTTTAGACATATATCACATGAATTGCAAATGTGACAGCAAATCAAAAAGTAAATCAAAACAGAACAAAGATGAAGATTCAATCAAGAACAAAGTTCATCCTACTAAATAACTTGTTAATTTCCGAGTTCACTCACAAAAGCTTTAAGATTCACATCCGAGGACCCACCTTCCTTCACAGCTTCCCTAGCCAATTCCTTCCATTTCTTGGCATTTCCCCTCATTTCTTTCCCTTCCTCTCCATCCCCCATTACCATTTCTATGCACCTCTTGAACTCCTCCCTCTCAACTATTCCTTCTTCATTTAATGTCACCCTCACCCCCGCCTCCCAAACATCTGTGATCAGCTTTGCATTAGTCCTCTGATCCGTCCACTGCGGAAATGCCACCATTGGAACCCCAGAAACCAAACTCTCCAACGTAGAATTCCACCCGCAATGTGTCACAAAACATCCCAATGACGGGTGAGACAGAACCTCCAGTTGAGAACACCATGGCACCATCATCCCTTGCTTTTCCAATTCTTCCATGCAACCTACTTTTTCTTCTATATTATCGCCAAAGTGATCAAATTTTCTTACCACCCACAAGAAGGGCCTTCCGCTTTCCAACAACCCGTGTGCCATCTCTTCCATTTGTTTCTTCGAAAAGACTGAATTGCTCCCGAATGATGCATAAACAACAGAGGACTCTGGCTTCGAGTTCAACCAGTCTGCATAGTCTGTAGACTTCTGAAACATATCACATCCGAATGAAGTGTCAGATGGATCTTTTCCGTCCAAAAATGCTGATGGAATTAACGGGCCAATTGCAATCATGGTGACCTTCTCGATAGCTCGTAGAGCATCTGTTTCCAATGCGTCGAATGTATTTACTAGTACTTGTGGATTTGCTTCGGTATCAAGTATATCTACGTGCTTTTTGAATATTGGGAGGAAACTGTAGGACTCTGTAGGATTAGGAAGTAAGATGGAAGGAAGGTCACGAGTAGTAAGCAACGGAAGTCCCGGTAATTCAATAGTACAGAAGGGGTCACAGCTATTTTTTGTAACGACATCACCATATCCATTGAAGTAATGGCAGTAAATGTCCAAAGTAGTTGCTGGTTGGATCCAAAGAAGTGTGGATGGAATGTGATGGTCACGTGCCACTTCTGCTACCCATGGGATAATTGTAGTGTATACCACACGTGTAAAGGCGCGGCCTTCGTCTGCTCTCGCATTGATGAGATTCGCGACGGCTTGGCAACTGTGAATTCGGAATGAGGACATGAAGTTTTCAACAGCTTTGACGCCCTTTTCATTGCCATCGGAAAAGGGGGCAAAGGTTAAGCCTTGTGGGGTTGGGGTGGTTTTGTTCATTTGCCCGATGGCGGAGAGGCTAGTGGCAAAGGTAACTTTGACACCCATTGCCACTAGGTTCTTGGCGAATTGGAGGGACGGATTGATGTGGCCTTGTCCCGGCATAGTTACCAGAAGAATGTGGGGATTGTCCATATCAATGGCGGCAGAGGTGGTGGTGGTGGTAGTGGTGGCGGCGGTGGTGGTGGTGAGACGGGATACTAGTCAATGCAAGTTGCAAAATGTTGTCTTTGTGAATTAACTGGGACTGTCTTAGAATTCCATGGGGATAGAGGTTTTATAGGAATCTCGTGACACATGACGATTTTGGGTTTTGGAATTTTTTTTTTTTGCATTTTCAACAAATTTTTGTCTAAACGACATGCACATGAGCTGTTTCGTTAAAACACCGACATTTTCAATGGATTTAATTTTGTCTAATTCAACTAACTTTTAATATTGGGCGGCTTGGGTTTTTGTGTTTCGTCCTTGTTGATGCGTGAAATGAGTTGTTTAGTTACAAGTTACAACAGCCTTGGCCACCGACTAATTTTTTTAAATGATATTTTAAAAAAATAATAGTAAAATATGAGCATAATAATAAAATACTCGTACATTTTACTTAACTTTGATAATTTAATTCTAAACAAATTAACTGTTTATTCGTGTGTTTGATAGCACAAGTTAAATATAATTGAAAGCGATAAACATGATTTAAAATGGGATAAAATTTTAAGTGACATGAACATCACTTATTACTGAATATTAAAAAATTCAAAAAAATCTAAAAAATATTTTACTTTTTAATTATTGCTTAAAAACTTTATAGTACTTAAAATTCAACTCTTAGAAATTTTCAATTATATCAAACAGCACCCAAGTCTTTTCTCCTACTATATAGGAATTGGTTATATGAATTTTATTTATTATTTTGTTCTATAGAAAGTAATAGTCTCGGTTTTTTTTTTTTAACACCAACCAGAGAAAACTATTATAGAATAAAAGAAGAATTACAATTAAGAGTTAAGGCATCAAGAAGCCACGAAAGCCAGACACCCCATTCCAGATCACCACACTCAGCCACTAAGGCCTTTTTGCTCACTAAATGAGCTACACAGTTACCCTCCCTAGAAACCCAAGCTAAAGAGGACCCCTTACATACAGAAAGAAGATGAGAGACATCTTGAAAAACCACATATAAAGCCGCAAATGAAGGCTTAAGCCACATCACTTGTTGGCAATCCCCTTTAATAATCACGTTTTGATAGCCCCATAGTTGTAGCAAAGAAAGACATTCACGCAGCACAAGACCCTCAGCCAAAAAGGGACCCCCAACATGAGAGAGGAAAACGAATGCCACCTTCACCGGTTGTCCTAGATGGTTGCGCAGAATCATCCCATCACCGCAAAATTGTCTAGCTTGATTAAAAGCCGCATCAAAATTGAGTTTGAGAAATCCCAAAGGCGGAGGGTGCCACTACAAAAGAGGATGAACCGATAAGGAAGAAGGAGAAGGGAAAGACATTGAGTGAGATTGTTGTAGAATCTCCTGATATTCAAAGAAATCGGTAAGAGCTTTTTGTGATGCCTCAAAAGGATCCCATCGGCGATGATTAAAGAGGAGATCATTTATGCATTTCCAAAGAGTCCAATGTTGCAAGACTAACACTGCAGAGAACCTGGAGATTGCCTCCATTTATCAAACATCTCCACCCACCACTTGGGCCAGACTGTTGGATCACAACTCCCCAAATCCAGTCGCAACGGACTTAACCTCCAAACCATACAAGCAAAAGGACATGTACAGAGAACGTGATCAACTATTTCAGCTGGAGCGTCACAGAAAAGGCAAGAAGGCACTGCAGAGGCTTTGCGCAAGGACAACAAAAAATTAACTAGAATGCGCTCATGCAAGCTTTTGCCAAAGAAAAAATATAATTTTTCGATGCGCTGGAATTTTCCAAATAGCACGCCACATATTAGTTTTTGCAGCATCAAAAGCCAATAGAAGGAGATGGATCAGTCTCTCTTTTTAGGTTGACAGAGCAATTTGGTAAGCACCTTTGAGTGAAAAAGACCCATCCTTTGTGGCACCCCATATCTTACAATCCACACCCCCACTGAAACTAATGGGTATTTGAAAAATAAGAGCACAAACTCTCTTATTGAAATGATGACGAATCAAAGTCGAATTCCAGTAGTATGACGAGGGAACCATAAGATCAGCCACTAAAGAAATAGGCGTCCCTAGAGGGGTTGATGTGGTAGTAGGATGAGAAACATCAGGAAACCAGTTATCTAACCAACAATTGATTTTCGATCTATTACCTATCATCCGTCTCAATCCCTTCTTAATGACAGCTTGGGCAGATAAAATACTTCACCAAACCCAGGAGGAGTGGGATTTGGGCGAAGCATCAACAAAATCACATGATTTAAAATATTTCTGTTTAAAAGATTGATAAAGTAGAAAATCGTCACCTTGTTCTATACGCCATGCCATTTTAACAAGAAAACGTTGAAGCCTTCAATCTTACTCTTCTTGCTAAAATGGCGTATGTAGACTTTTGAAGGCTTCAACCTTGGAAGAGCAAAAGTCTCGTTTCAAATTGAATCATTTGGTTACTAAGCATGTAGACTTTTGTCGTTCTCTTCCTCTGTCATCGTGTGAACCATCTTAGAAATATCATATATTATTATATAAAATAAAAAATGAATTTTTACTCATTTTAGGTACAATAGTATGAATGTAACAACTGCTTTCTTCACAAATTAGGTTAGTGGGTATTTGTTTTTGCTTTTTTAACTTATATTATTTTTCTTATGGGTTAATATGCTTCCCTCGATTAAAAAAATTTATAAACTTGTCTCATTGTGTCTGCAAGTATGGTAATTATCCAACTAAAGAAAAATTGGTAAAAACTTCAGAAAACTTTGGAATACTGTTAGAAACGTGTCCAACCATACCCTTTGCCTATCAGGTTTCCATTTAGAGGAGTGTCATGATTTCTAAGTAATTAGATTATAACTCGTAAATTTCACTAGTGCTATAGATAAATAAAAATGATAATAATAAATAAAGGTCTGAGAGTAGAGTACTCGGAAGATCAGCCGAATTGACTTTCCTTTCCATGTAAATTTATTGAATTCCTACATCAAAGACTAGTTAGACAAATAATATAGGGCTTCTGTAAACCATATATAGCTTTAAGTAAAAATCTAATAAAATTAGAAATTTGATACATAAATCCTGACTCTCATGGGATGTTTTAGTTCCACTAAGAATTTTACTTTGAAAAAATTTGTTTGTGCTTTATCGTATCTACATGTGATGAATTCCATTAGGTTTTGGCCATTATTGCTAGTCAAAGGTGGAGGCTAGAGATTTCAAAAGTGGTAAGCTAGCCAATATTGTTCATCAGTAGAATAAAAAATCACAACTATAAAATATGTTGGTGTCTAATTTCTAAAAAATTAGAAAGAAAAAGAAAGTGTGGACATTATCACAACAGTAGATAAGGAAAGTCATTAGGTACAAGAAAAAGTTGAAAAGATTGTCATATTTCCATCTTAAACCACTCCGTAATTTATTGCTCATACTTTATTATTTCACATGCCAAATGCTAGACCGATTTACAATTTACAAATGCCACCAACAGAAAAAGTTAATCTAAATAAATAAATAAATTGAACAAACCAAAAACATTATCATTTATTCAAATAACAACATCTTCATTTTCATGAATAGAGTTTACTGCTACTACTGATGACCATCTCCAAGTCCATCCACAAAAACCTTGAGATTCATATCCAATGATCCACCATCCTCCATAGCTTCCCGTGCCTTTTCCTTCCATTTGTTTGCATTTCCTCTCATTTCTCTCCCCTTCTCTCCCTCTCCCATCGCCATTTCTATACACCTCCTAATCTCCTCCCTCTCCAATATTCCTTCCTCATTTGGCACTACTCTCACCCCCATCTTCCAAACATCTTCGATAAGTTTTGCATTCGTCATTTGATCAGTACACTGCGGAAACCCCACCACCGGAACCCCAGAAACCAAACTCTCTAACGAAGAATTCCACCCACAGTGAGTCAAAAAACATCCCACCGATGGGTGTGATAGAACCTCCACTTGAGAACACCATGGCACTATCAATCCTTGTTGTCCCAATTCTTCTAAGAAACTCAATTTATCTTCTTCACCCTCGCCATTTTCTTTTGCTCCCATCACCCACAGAAATGGCCTATGGCTTTCCAACAACCCGCGTGCAATCTCCTCCGTTTGTTGCTTTGGCAACACAAATGAGCTTCCAAATGCTATGTAAACAACAGATGATTCGGGCTTCAAATTTAACCACTCAACATAACCATGTGATTGTTGAAAGAGGTCTCCTCTAAAGGAAGCATCAGAGGGGATTATTAAAGGTCCTATTGGGATCAAATTGTGCTTTTCCATAGCTCTTAAGGCATCCGGCTCTATTGCTTCGAATGTGTTCACCAGTATTTTTGGGTTGGTTTCGGCATTAAGCACGTCTAGCTGCTCTTTAAATCCTGGAATTGCCCAACTGAATTTGTCGGAGTGTGGAGGGACTAGAAAGGATGGAAGATCACATCTAGCGAGCAATGGCAACCCTGGTAACTGAATAGAGCTTGAAGGGACGTCATTGACAAATTTTCTAATGGCATCACCATAACCATTGAAGTAATAGTAGTAGATATCGAGAACCATGGCTGGTTGAGTCCATAGAACCGCGGATGGGATGTGATGGGCACGAGCAACTTCAGCTGCCCATGCTTGATTCATAGTGTATACCAAACAAGTTATTGGGCAACCTTCTTCATCACTGGCCTTGATGAGCTCTGCCACAGCTTTGGAACCGCAAATTTTGTACTGAGACTGGAAATGTTCGCGGTTGTCCCCATCTTTGATCCCATCATCATAGCCATCGGAGAAGGCAGATAATGATAAGCCTTTTGGGATTAAGCTGTTGGATTTGGTGATGCGACGGTGAACGTAGAGATTCGTGAGAATGGTGACCTTAACACCCATTCCTATGAGTTTGTTGGCGAATTGGATTGACGGATTGATGTGGCCTTGCCCCGGAGAAGGTAGAAGGAGAATGTGGCAATCCACCATAGTGAAGGAAAGAGATATAATGGGATGATTATGTTTGTGTTTCACAAATGAATTAGGAAAAGCTTTGTATCTGGAAATGGTGATGGAATTGGGATGTGGTGGTTTATATATCTGTAAGAATTGGATAAAGACCAGCGAGAAGAAAGAAAAAAAAAAAAAAAAAAATTGCTTCTTGAATGGTCGTGTTTGTGATGAATAAAATATTAAGCTGGCAACTTTTTGAGGTAATACATCAAAACTTGGTGGCTTACGGAATTTGGATGCAGTGCATATTGACTAGTCCAAGACATGGCAACATCTTCAGCTACTAGTTTAGAAAATTCTTATGTTGATAAAGTTAGAGAGAAGAAAGAAAAAATAAAAATTGCTTCTTGAATGGTCGTGTTTGTGATGAATAAAATATTAAGATGGCGACATTTTGAGGTAATACATCAAAACTTGTGGCTTACGGAATTTGGATGCAGTGCATCTTGACTAGTCCAAGACATGGCAACAACTTCAGCTATTAGTTTAGAAAATTCTTGTGTTGATAAAAAAAAAAAAACTTGATTTAATAATTATTTTATTCAAACTTCCATAATAAACTAGAGTACTTTAATAATTACTTATATTTTTATACAACTTGATTGCAAAATTTAACTATAACTTTATTAGTTTCAAATAATCAATTATATTTAAATCCAACTTGATTGCAGAATTTTGAACCACAATAAGCAAAGAAACGAATTCTGTTAATTATAAAATTTATTATATATATATATATTAGACAACGAGCATATCTAAGAGACGAAAACGAAGATGAAGACAGTAAAATTCAAAAATTTGTTCGTGTGTGACAGAAATGGCGAATGGGAGCAGAGAGCGAGAAAGAGAGAGAGTTAGATAAAGTCTTCCAAAAATCCAGCCGGATATGTAGATATAGTGGGATTTTTTCAAAATTTAGTAAGGTTATAAAAGTTGTTGATTGTGCTTTATAATAGTCTACATGTGATGAATTCCATTAGAATTGGTTCTGCCACTGCATTTCATAAGTTGACATTTTATTATTCATGTATGTTTAAAGTACTACTAGTCATCGTCCTTGAAAGAATTTTTTTTTTTTTTTTTTTTATAAGAAAATCACTCACACACTTATTTTGTCCCTACAAGAATTATTCTTTGACCTTTAATATTAGAAGGCAATAAAATACCACTGGTTACCGTACTTCTTTGTCTTTGAGAGAAAAAAATAATAGCGAACAGATATTGTTATCAAATGAACTAATTAAAAGGACTTTGGCTGCACATTAGGGGCCCGTTTACTAACGCTTTCACTTTTTTATTTTTACTTTCTCAAAAAGTAAAATAATGATTTTGATTTCTTGAACTGAAATTGAAAGTGAAATGATGTTCAATAATTTATTTTACTTTCAAAATTTTGAAATCAAAAAATAAGAAGTAAGTATAATATATTTTATTTTATTTTCCTGTTATATCTGTCTCTCTAATTTTTTGTTATCTTTCTCTCTCTAAAATGAGTACTATGTTTGCTTTGCTTGCTACCACTTCCATCTCATCATGAAGAAGAAGAAAAACAGAATACGAGTAGTAGAATAGAGAAGAGAGAGAGAGAGAGAGAGAATAGAGAAGAAAGAGAGAGAAAGAGAAAGAGAAAGAGGAAGAGTCACGATACATCATTCTTCCTTGGTCATCTTGTGTGTAAGAGATGGGCAGCACACATAGGCTTCTTGCGTCTGAGATGGGAATTATTGTGTGCCAATGTCGGAATCCATGGAAACCAGAGCCTTGAATTTGGGTCTCCCTTTCGGATGCCGGAATCCACAGACAAACTTACTGGGACTAGAATTTTGGAGTATGAATTGCTTGTGGATGTGAATTTGGGTCTCCCTCTCCTATGTCCAATTGCCGGATTCCTTGCTCATATTGTCACAGCCTTGTCGCCGTTCGATCCGTCGATAAGTTCAGTCCGGCCTCATCTTGGGGACATTCCTTGCCGCTTCAACACCTCCACCATCGCAAAACCTTCACTCACCATCACCCCTTCTCTGCGAATCCCATGCCGGCCCCGTCGTGCTCTGTGCCAAAATTCTGGGAAGCTTGCAAAAACTAAAGAAGATTTCGGATGTGGCGATGATGGCGGTGGTTGTCGACAGCGAGGGTCTGCTTTTGGGTTTTTTTTTTCTTTTTCTTCTGTGACTGAAGTTGATTTGGGTATATTCATCGTTTTTAATGTGTATGAAAGAGAAGAGAGATGGTTCTGGTAGTAGCTATGGTGGGAGGAGGTGGTAGTGGCAATGACCATAGCGGGGGAGATGGGGAGGAGACGATGGTGAGAGATGGTTAGAATATTTTTTTATTTTAATAAATAGTGCTACAGTAGAGAAAGTAATTTGTGTGAACAGTGTAAAAAATAGAGAAAGTAAGGATTTCTCACTTTCTCTCCTCTTCACAAAATTAGAAAGTACTTTCTTAAAGTAAAAAAGTGAAAGTATTTTATTAAACATGATTTTTACTTTTACTTCACAATTTTAAGAATTGACAGTAGAAATCAGGAATCATTCATGTTAGTAAACAGACCCTAGCAAAGTTGCAACTTGCAAAAGTGATGTTGCAAATATGAAGAAAAAAAATGAGCGTCTAGCAAAAGAGTAGAGGAATGGTAGATGGTAGAGACAGTTTGGTTTCAATAACATCCTCTGGTGGAGAAATTTTGCTCCTTTGCAAATTGTATGTACTGTAGATTACTAAAAATTTCTTTCTTATTATAGTATGCCTTCCTTGTACCGTACATGAGGTGGCAAAATGGGTCACAACTCATCAACTCATTCATATTCGTCTGTTTTTTAATGGTTTTGGGTGAACCATATTTAAAATGGGTCAAAAATGAATTGGTTAATTTTTAACCACTTAATTTGAGGGTCAAGATGGATTAAATATGACTCATATTTTACCCATCACATAATAAACACACATCTATTCTATATTGTATCAACTCATTTCTTTCTCTAAAATTCTCTCACTCACGATCCCCTCTCTCTAAATTTGTCTCTCATCAATCATCTCTCTCTAAGTTTCTCTCTTTAAAATTTTTTTTCCTTTCCTTCACTTCTCTCTCTCTAAAACAAGTTGATAAATATTGCTTAGTTTGAAATTATTTTTTTATTGGTTATTAAATAAAATTTTAAAACCTTTCGGAAAAAAAATTAATTTAAAAAAATAATTAAAATTTTAAAAAATATAAAATTTTAAAAAATAATTTAAAAAATAGTTAAAAATAATAATTAATGGGTCCACCGGTCATAATGGGTTGACCTTATTGTAATATTTCTGAATGTCGCCATTTTTTCATTTTTCTGAAATTTTTCATTCATGCAAGGGTATTCTCGTCTTTTTTCGTTTTGCGTGCCGAACACCGTGAAGTGTGCGGTTGTGTCCGTAAGTTAATATGGGGCATTTCATTAAATTTAGGACTCTTTGAAATGTAAGAGTGACCATTTTGGCATTTTTTTTATTTTTCAAGCCGGACGGTCCCACACCCGTTACCAGAATTGTCGCGTATGGGGGTGTTGGTTGAGCCCATTTGCATCTCATATATTTTATTTAATGTATTATATGTGGTTGAGAATTATTAAGTGTGTATATAATATATTAGTGGTTGAAATTAAAAAGGAAAAAGATAGTTTAAATGGTGGGACCCACTTTATTTTTTAAAAAAAAGGGCCAAAAGCCATTTTTGGCCACATTTTTCTCATCTCTCTCTCTCTCTCTCTCTCTCCACGAATTGCTCTCTCTCCCATTCTTTTCTTTTCTTTTTCTTTTTCCTTTTGCTTTAAAGCTTTAAACTTTGATGTCTTCTTAACCTTTTGAAGTTTTTGGATGCGATTTGCGGCAAATTGTAGAGTGCGTCAAGATCTTCGATTTGATCGGAGCAAATGTGGTTTTGGTGCACCCTAGAAATTTCGAATTCTAGGGCTTGGATTAGGCAATTTCGGGGTTTTTGCAATTCTTGAGGTAGGAGTTTCTAATCCATAATCTTTTGGATTTTTGTGAGTCAATTCCTTATAATTTGTATTGTTACATGATTAATTTGCTATGTGTTGTATATGAGATGTATTTACATGCTAAGTTGATATGTGATGCAGAACTATGTTTAAATGATGATGTTTCTATGCCTATTTTGTCATAAATGTTGAATTTTGTGATTAGAAAGCGTGAGATATATTTTTTTAGAATTTTCTTTTGATATAAAACACGTATATTGTTGATTGTTATCTTGATAAGTATGGATTTCTCCATTTGCACGGCATTAAAATATATATGAGACATTCATACATGGCATTGGGCAAAGGATTGGGAAAGTTGTTTGAAATAAATGAAAGAAAGGGGATTTTTGGGAAAAAGTTTTGATAAAAGGATTTTGTAAAAAACCTGGTCGCTGCGGAGTCACCAAAAGGCCGTGGTATTAATATAACCTAGAGGAAACTAGGGAAATCACCCTAATGTGGTTAAGCTATCTGGGCCCCAAATGACGCCACGGGGGTACCAAGGGTCAGGGATAGTAGCCAATCCTTCTCTCGTACCGCTGCGGAGTCACCAAAGGGCGGGTTATATTAACAGTTTGAAAAGTGATGGATAGTTTTGAAATGGGGAGTGACATAGCACGACATTACATTTCATAGCACGACATTATTTGTTATTAGTCTTGAAATTGTATTGTATTTTTCCCCAGCATAGTATGTTTCCGTTGCCTTATTTCTATTCGTTGTTTGGGTTTACGGGGTCACAAGAGGTGTGTCTTAGGCACCACCTACTGAGCTTTATGCTTACCCTATCATTTAACATTTTTTAGGGTTAGGAAATGAAGTAGTGGACACCGAACCATCACAAGCATGAAAAGGACTAGAAGTTTATTTTTGTCATCTTTTGTATAATTGTCATTCTTTTGTAAAGTCTCAAATCATAGACATGTATTGTAATTAGAACTCTTGATGGTGTTTTAAAGTGAAGTGAGACTATGAAATTATTTCATGATGAATGGGTAATAAAGTTATATTCCGACCAATTATAGATACATTTCAACTGTATTATATCATGTTCTATTGTCGTGAATTCGGAATTTGATTGCATAACAGGTC